AGACCAGACACATAGTGATGCTATTAGGGGTCGTTTACCTAAACACTTACCTGGTAAGCACTTACCGGTAAAATTCAACACTATCGCTTACTTACCGGGTAAGATTTTATTCACTGAAATGCATTGTGTGCAACAATTTATCCCGGTAAGCGCTAACCTTGGTAAGAGTCCTCCTCCTCACTTACCGGGTAAGACACTCGATTACTGTCTTTGCTCTTACCGGGTAAGATTCTTATTCTTTGTCATATTCATCCGGTAAAGTAAAGTGATTTGGTAAATGCTTACCCGAATAAGCGTTTGGTAAACGGCACCTAACATACTTTCTATATAATTTAACCCTGCTTTTCATATATGATTCCCCTCTTTTTTCTGTGCATAAGAACCAAATTTATTATTTTTCATTTTTTTTTTCCAGAAAAGGGTGTCCCTGATTTTTGGCTAACTGCAATAAAGACCCATGAAATATTGGCAGAAGAGGTAGGAATCCTGTTAATGATGATTTGTATGTTTGTTGTATGCTTTGTCATGATTATGGTTTTTAGTTCTGTACTTGCTGATTTTGATTTTGGTTCTATCATCAGATCTCTGATGATTATCTCAGGGTGATAGTTCCAAAAAGAAATCTTCCACAATCTGTTTACTAAAATGTTGTCTGTAAGTGAAACACTTTTGGTATCGTTGACGTGATTTTGGGTAGTAATATGTATCGCTTACACATATTAAAATGCTATGTACAAATCAGATCTCATTTCTATTCGACAAACCATTTGAAACTGTCTTTTTCATTTTAACATTTTATTATGTTGTCTTGCCTAAACTTAATAATATATGCAAGCCATTTTCCAAAAGAACCTCATGTACTTGGCTGGTGGTGTTGATGCTCAACCACCGCCAACCTCAAGTGAGTTCTAACATGCAATTTAAATTTCGATCCAAATGTTTGTGTTCTTGATTTAGCTTACTTCCAAGGTGGTGCTAGGAAAACAGTTACATGCAACAACCGAGTAACATCAGCCTGCAGTCAATAAGGTGGTGCTTCTATTACAAAACTTCCATTCAAGATTAA